AACACAATGGGTGGGGAAGTCGCTTCACATTCGGCATCACAAGTTTGTATCTGTGTCCACGTGTACTGCATGGCCCTCGTAAGTGCAGCATTGGACTCAACATAGGGAAGTCACCGAGATGTAGAATATGCTAGGTCATAGTGAGGTGGACCTGCAACCGACTATAGGACAAGGTGTAGAGTCCTAGTCTCTCGTACCGGTCTTCATACCGTAAGCCACGTAAACTCAGAATGAGCCTAGTAGCAACCTGTTGGACCCTTTTGATATTTTGTGCCTCGTCTCCGGTAATCGGAAAGTAGGCGGCTGAACCGTACTGTAGCGGTGGTCTAATGCTGTAAGAGAAGAGCCGTTTGGGCACCCGAAGCATGCGCCGTCCTTTACAATATAGCCTGTTTGTGTTGTCCACGAACTTCAAATCGCAGCGCAAGATTACACCCAAGTCTTTCATGGGGGGTATGGGATATAACAGTTGGCCATCAGGGGTATAGGTTCGGTCGTCGGCACCCTTCCCCAGGCCCATAAATACATGACCATGAAAAGATGAAGTTTTTCCATCACACGGCTGAAAGTAGTGTCCTTGCAAACGTAAGCAGACTGCCGCGTATATTTAGTATAACTCATGCACTCGACGAAGAAAATTCTCCTCCACGTCCACTTGACGCTCGCATATCACATTGCGGAATCGTTTTCCTTCATCTTTTTCTCCACACGCAGAAAGACCTCTTAATACGCCCATGTCTGTCACTTCTCGGCACACAGAAATTGCCGGGTTCGATAGTAAAGCCGAAACTAGCGAATTAGTAGAACAGTAGTGAGACACTGCAATGATTCACATCTTCATCCACCATTTCCATTAACTCCAGTCTGTCAGGTATTGCGTGAGGTCACTTAAATGCATCCACATAATGTCTGTAACCATTCCTACTGTACTGGATGGCCTAGCTATCTGTATATTTTCCTAATCATTCTATGTTCGGTATATTACACAAGACTGTAATTCGCTGATCATGCTTTGGAGACGTGTCTAGAGTTGCAGAGAATAAACGTTTAGTTATTGCTCTATTTACTTGTTTATTTCTCCCATTTTAACATTACCTTTTTTGTTGCACGGGCACGCAAGCCATAAATCTTCACATATAAGTGAAAGTTGTAATGAAAGTCACTGAGCTCACTTAGACACTCAACACACATTGTTTGATCAGCTCATACCGATATCTAGGCCTAGAAACCTCTAGGCATAACACATTGCCGTAACTCTGCTCTATGTGCATACTAACTTAAATTACTCGGCTAAGGCAGCTGAAGAGTTGAAAACTCATTGATGCATCACTCTTAGCCTTCTCGCTCCTTTTTGCATCTGAGTTTCTGTTATGCATAACTAATCTGACCTGTACTACTCTTGTTTATTAACCACGAGTGTGTGCCACTCGTCCAATTGCTTCATCCTCTTTCATGTGCACTCCCATTCCATGAAACCACCGCTTTCATGGTATCTCCAAATGCACCGGAACTAAACAACTGAGCATACCAGGAACTGGTAGGAAACGACGATGAACGTCCCAAAATAAGATCTTTCCACAAACGCACCTATTGCAATCCTGCATAAACCTTAACCATTGACAGCCATGCATGCATGAGCATGTTGCACGTGTAAATGCGATGCGGCCGTCTGCGGACACGGTTTCACGATACCATGAGAAATATACATTACTGTTTTTATCATTATTATTATTGTTGTTATTCCAAAAGCTTTTATAGACCCCACATGTTTGCGGTGTGCTTGAAATAGGTGATAGTTTGTGATACGAAAATACGAAAGTAGTAACTACTTTGTCAGTACTGTATAACTGGATCTCAATATGCTGCACACTATAATCGTTCACCTGCTTTACTGAATGCCGTACGCTACGCTAGCATCACCTCTCTATGCTTTGTGGCGCATTTGGAGGTACACGTTGGGTCCAGTCAGCCATAGGCTTCTAAGTATTTGGTATTTGGTGCGATTATGAAAAAACAACAAATAACGGACGACATAATTTTTGACATTTCGAAACAGTACAAGTGAGTAGTCTGCTCAATAGGTACAACGAAATCGCATAAAACTGATGACATTTCCGATTTTCTATGTGTTTCATCAACGAATGATTGGAGTGACTGAAGTTGTATGTAGCAGAAAGATTGAAAAGTTGGCAACAATAATGAATGCAGATAAAGCCCATTGTGCAAGTGAAATGATCCAGCTATTCATAGAACTCTGCACGTGACCTGATATCATGTAGGATATTATCTCCAATGTTTTTTTTTCGGAATTTCATGCCCAGTTTGACCGCATGCTGGTGCGACGTAATAGCAATGAAGCCATCATCGCTTTAACACATTTGTTGGACTGATTTACATCGATACATGATGGGCAATCGAGACATCCAACTCATTCCATCATTCGGCTCTTTTCGAGCATGGTACATTTTCAAAAAACATATGAGCCGATGACAATACGCCTTGCATGGGTATACTTATTAGCTTGGAAGCCTCAATTCACCAGCTTGGCAGATCAGCTCAGTAGTGGCGAACAATAAATTAAGGAAGAAGAAAAGGCAAGAGCAAATGATAATAATAATAATATCTAATAAATATTCTTTCTCATGACAAGGAGAGACACAGCTCAGCCCGATCGTCTCACTAAATCGTTACTGGTCATTCAGACATATTTTCACATGCAATGATGCTTCTCGGAGTGGGTTCGGCTAAGAAAACACAAAGCGCTGTGTAAAAGTTCCCATCTAAATCTTACTTCTTCAGGCGCTCAGTGTGTGCGTAATAACAAAGGAAAGGATAGAACAACTATTATTTGAAATGCAAAGGTAGTGTGGTTTAGGCAGTATCAGTTGACAACACGAATAGAAAGAATAACACTGAGACCTGATATAAGTGTAGTACATAACACCTACCTCTTCCATGTAAATGAAGAAAAGGAGCTTCTGCCGCTACAAATGTTAGCATTAGCGCCTGATGGTGAGTTTCAAAGTGGTTTAGAAAAACGAAGGCCGTTATGTCCAACCTACCAGTGTCATAGTGCCAATGGTAGGTATTGCAAGCACGCACTAAGGCAAATGTTAAGTTGAAAAGATGGCTGAAAAGGGCTGTTGTGTCCGACGTTCCATCGAGTTAGTGTTTACGTTAGTCAATGGGCCTCTATTAGTACAAATGATCAGATTACCTCAACTACTTTATCTATGGAAGCAGGTCCCATGGCGACGATTCCACGGTTGACCGCATTACTTTAATAGAACATTTGGATTTATCTGCATTTATTATTGTTATTGACCAATCCATCTCTTTGAAAGATGCAACCGATCAAATGGCCATGCAAAATAATTTGGGAACTGCCCTGAAAAAACTCAGAAATGTTATCCTTCCCATGCGATCCCGTTGTACATAATGACCAGACCAATCAGTTGGACTGTGCCTCACACCGTCGAGGAACATATCCTTTATATATTTATTTTGTCATTTATCGTGAGACGTTTGTTGATTCGGTCATGTAACGTGTGATTAACACCTGCAGCTTATATCCAAGCCATCCCACAGACCAAAAAGCGCTCCACAGCTTATGGCTTGTAGTTTAATTTTGTTATGGAATGTATTCTTCCTCACTGTCTACACTGTCCCACTGTCATTTTCCATGACCTTCCAAATGAAAGTAACTCTCGTGTACGATGGATGGAGCACTTTGACGGGCGCAGTGACATGTCCATCCATGGTTGGCGGCATCCGGTTTCGGATTTGCTTGTCACTGTGGCCAGCCACAGGAGGCCTGCGCCTACAGAGGTATCATGGATAGCTTGCGCTGCACCACCCACAGCTCCATCCACACACCACATAACCAGTGTAAACCCGAAGGAATAAGACCGGGAGGCATGCGGATGGGAGCCACGTTTCATCAACGGAGCCGGCCCACACTCTTTCACAGGCAAACACAAGCACGCTGTATTTGGAGAATCAAGTACACACAAGGCGGTGGCTGGACCGTAGTCCACTCCACACTGAGTGCATGGAACCACTCTTCGAGCCTAGCACGACCACAAGGACCGTGCACCCGGTCCCCTCCAGCAACGACCAACTGTCTCCTGGAGCCAGTATGGACGAGATAGTGGGTAATGGACAGGTAGGCATTTTGTCAACATGCACATCAAGCGCAGCCACACCTGGGATGTCAAACAACAGCCAATCATTCGAAATGCCGATATCGATTAAAGTAAACGCATATGACGACATAAATACTCGCTAAATGAGCATATAGAAGAAATTAGTTATAGGTAGATCCGTGATAAGTACAAAATGCCCGAAAGTTAGTTAAAAAATACCACGCGATAAAATTACGCAAGTTTACCATAATTTGCGTGAGCGGCGTGTACAAGTAAGGAGAAGATTATCAGGTACGCAGAACAAACCAAATAACATGTAATGAATTCTATCCACATACCCTTGTTATTAAACACCTATACATAATTACAGACTTTCCAGAGATAACGTGTCGTCTACCTCATCAATGAATGCATTTGAGCATACAGCGAGTATCGTGTCTTGCATTTTAAATAGTAAGAATTTTTGCTCTGGTCTAGTAACCCAGGTGGTTCCAGAGGCTGAAGACAAACCACCCAACGCTGTAACGGTGTCACAAGTTGGGAGCCGCTCTGCCCATAGGCGCATTACTGTTGCTCGACAGGCGAGCAGCGTGCTAAGCCAGTAACGACTCCGAAGTTTATGGTCAGTCCCGAGCAAGCAAACTGCAACCTCATCGGTGCCCAGGGCAATAGTGAACTCGCCGAGTCACCGCTACTCTTGGTAATAGATTGCGACCATAGTAGGACGTCTGCAATCACGGCAATAGCTACCGGCCTCGTATCACCCAGTAACTTTTCGGATTGGTTCAAAGACTTGACGTTTGATTGGTTCACTCTGTCCGTACTCCTATTGGCGCTTCTGCAAACGTGACACCACGTGCGTGCATCTGTCGCACATAACGGTACATGTGCACATGTGCTCTATTCGCATGGTTGGCCACACACGATGTCTCACTGCACTGGGTTGTTGCCTATACTCCCTTTCCCTTGCCGTGCGTGCTGCTCGGTGCACCACCTGAGCCAATACGAGTTCGGTTTTCAAGTTTGTTGAGAACTAGCCAAACCTGTAGATCCGATTGTTCTGCTTCACCGCTGGGATTACTGATACGGTCAGCATTGTTATCAGACTAACTGGACAATTACATCGCACTGAGGAATTTCTGTGCTTTTTGCTTTCTTCACTTGCATAACAAACAACCCCCCACACGAGGCGCTGCAACCTCCTCATTCAAATATCTTGAGTTTGTTCAGAAATTGGGGTAGGAACACGGCGCCTATGCCCTGATGTCACATCACTCGAGAAACGCTCGGATTTTTTGCATTATAATATGGGACAGCTGTCACAATCGTGTGTGAACAACTCACAATATAAAGGTCCTGACTCACTTTCTCAAACTTCGTCCATGGGTAACATCTGCAACGCCCCTCAGACGCTACCCGACTCAGGTACGTCGCTTCCTTTCCCCAATGGCCTGCATGCCAGCCCGGATGCTGCCTTCCAGACGTTGGCTCCCACATCCGAGGATTCCATTCCAAACAGGTCTCCAATCTGGTTACCCCCAATGAACCCAGAATCTCTCCTAAACTTACTTCGGCCGTATCTGCTTTCCCAATTGTGCCCACCTACCTCCCAACCAACCGACTTAGTTCCCAATGTGAAGTTCGACGGGGACTCTTCACCTAGCGCTTTGACACAGAGAGCTCCTCCTGTGTATCCAGCCGCTGAAAATCATTATCACTCATTTGGGAAGCACCTCACAAATGGTGAGTTTTACTTTGTGGACCTCTGGAAACACGTCTGTTGCACTTAGGTAGTCCGCACCAGAGGTCTTGTCGGCGGCCTTATTCGCTTTTTTTCTCCTAATCACACCCGTTTGGTGGTGATCGTTCCAATCGGTAATTGCTGTATTCGTTATTATCGTGACACATTTCATCCAAACGGGCGGCGAGACTACTTGCCTGCCCCCACACGGAACTTGACATCCTCTGCTTCGGCTGCCTGCTAGGTTGGAGCGCTGCGGCTACACTCGACATAGTACTTGGGGATGCTCGATAGCGGGTGCATACACAATGCCATCAAGGGCTATGTCCCGTAATTGGGGCAAGCATCGACATTGTGTTTGATTGCATCCTATTCGCCCGCTTAATTGACCCGCGATCCGACGCGTCTCTAAGTCTCATACCCGCAGACGTCGTTAACCTCTTACTTTCTCCACATTTTAATAAACTGACTTTAACGCTAACTTCTGTCGGACCTTGGCACTAGATTAATCTGTGTAATGGCTTCCATATCTATAGACTCGAGAATTCTGCCAACAGCTCCCTTTGTGTTCCAGCTTTGGGTTACTGCTACTTCACCAGCTAGAGGCCATCCAGTAGGATCCCTGTCAGCACGAATGTCCAATTGACATCCGACGAGTGTCCAACTGGCATCTGATTTGCTTCCGATCTGAGTCCCGACTATATGTTTTCGGATGCAAATCTGAGACAGATAAAAATTTCTCGGTTAACCTAATGGGGAATGCGGGCAAACCAATCGCACGCTGGCAACCACGCATGCCATGTTGCATACGTGCAAACTTTTTAACTCGCGTTGCAAACCGCCTACGTAATAACCGAGAAACAACGAAGCAGCAGCAGTACGGTTATGTTGACACATACGGTTCAGCACAAAAAGGCCTCAGCAGTACACCGATACGCAGTACCGACGTTTCACTGCCTTGCAACCACCACCAGTTGCACTTGGGCTAAAGATACTATGAGGCTCGCCCAGTCTCTACGCAGGCTCGAACCCGCGCCCTCGGATTGCAAGATAGGGCCACGGTCCGGCATTACAAACGGCAGGTGGGACAAAAATAGCCAACTAGTTGTTAAACAAAAATTAGTGTATTCTTAGTTAAGCCTCTTTGTTTCCTGTTCCAGCATATTTATCTATGTGCCGTCCGATTTGAGTCCATCCATGGATTCCTGAGTGTCTGATGGTGGCGATAAGCATGGTCCGTCTTCCTAACCTAGAACTGAACATGTGGTCGATACAGCTGTGTCACCAAATTACAGGGGTAGGAATAAATGGTTTCGATACATGCAGACTGACGGTGAATACAAAAACGAAATACATGAAGGGGTAGCATGACGGTGCTCTAGGATTTAGCTTTGCTTCTTCGTAGTGACGTTGCCGCGGCTGAAGTATTCAACTGATGTTTTATCCCATTACCCCCAGTAGTTTCGCCACGTGTGAGTATATACAGCAGATCGGCTGCTTTATAAATTCGCGTTTGTCTAAGCGACAATCCCGTTCGTGCAACTCCATTGCTGTATTCACCTGTAAGTACGCAGACCATGTTTCGTGCAACATCAAGTGGCATTTGGAATCTTAGCGCCTCTGGCTCGGCATGAACGCGGCTTGATGCTACTCGCGAGTGTGTGAATCTCTTCCGTTTTTTACTTAAAGCGAAAATGGCATACACTTCTTTCCAAGTTCTTCCACATGACGATTATGTGGTTTTTACCCTATGGACTTGTGAACTTCAGAATAATGCCCTCATGCAGAATGCGGTTGCCTTTCGGCAATAGGGCAGTACGGTAGAGTAACAGTTTCTATCGATGTAAGAGGGACACACTCAGCTGCCCTCTTTCTCCCACGGTTGGGGAGGTAAGCAATCATTGACATACACAAATGCAGCTTGTTCCCGTTTACACAAGCGCTTGGAGACGTTTCGCACCTTCTTCGTGCGACGAGTGACTTCAGGTTACACCTCATATGCCAAACAGCGTCGGTGGATTTCGGCCTAATGCATCCTTCAAGTTCACGGAGCTCATTGTAAGTTATTCATGATCAAAAGATTTTTTGTTATAAACAGTTTAGGGTTTCTTTGCATCAGCTTCCACCTGCCCGTAAGCGCACTAGACGGCCGTTTCAAACTGCCGGGTCGCGTCAGTTGCGCGCATCCATTAGATGCACTGGGATCCGAACCCGTGACCATTAGCGATTCGCACCGCCAAACAGCAACTAAGGATACTGAGCCATGGAGGAGAACGACGAATCGTCAGGATGTACAACTTAACTAAAATTTAGCGCGACATCCTCCACTGCCATACACGTTGCGCACTTTGCTGCGTTGGCCCCGAGAGGCAGGACGACCACTAACAAGACCTATGTGTTGCATAGCATTTAGAAACCGTTTGGACAGATATTTTGCTATACCCATGAGTATAATTATTTTAATTTAAATAGTTGACGTATTTTCGCAGCAGATTCCAACTCAACCAGTCCTCCACATTCTCGGAAAAGCACTTCAATGATCTGCGTGCCGAAGAGGCCAGTAACTAATCTCCTTTACCACGCTGGTTTTTCCTATTTGCAAGTTACGCTCAAAATGGGACTCAGTTCTGAGTAAAATGCCATAAAAAGTGTAGCTATAATAAACAAACAGTACGCAGGTACGCCCCATATTGAAATCAGATGGCTCAACTGCTTGATAAGTTCGAGAATGGGCCATGCGTCTCAACAGCATTGCCTCCAATTGCTGTAGTGCCAGATACTTGCAACTAACTAGGTCAGCTGTGATCCGCCGCATCGCATGTCTTCATGAATGCGCAAGTGAGCCAAGGGATGAATGCATCAACCTGACTGGTTTGAACAGTTACACCGCAGCCGTAGTGCATCGTCCTACAAAGGTGGCGCGTCCTGGTCTCAAATTGTGGCCCCCATTGCAACCCATAAGGACTTTGTCAAGTCTCAGCTTTCAAACGTTCGTGTAGTATGTAGAGATGCCACTGAACCAAATGTGCGTCGAAGGATGTTTACTACGATCTCTAAGTTGTTTCCACCGGGTCTCACCGAAAAGGTCCATGCTAGCATGCGTCGTTTTGGAAAGCTTGTGTGCTCTGAACTAATAGTTGGCCTTCTGTAGCATCATCCGCTCAACGGCACTCAGAACCATATATGAGTCTGAAGAGCGTTTTCCCAAAATTTACTCGTAGTTTGCCTACACTGTTGCTCTAGTGGTTGGATTCATCCTCATGTTTAATGAGGGTTTGTTTCATCTGTACCACTCAGTTAACCGAAAACGATCCTCGCACCGAATTCTGACGTACCCGGTAGCTTTCACTCTCTCAGTCATCATATATCAGTAGGTAAAACAATGGAGGGACGAGAATCCTGTGGGCCATGAAACCTCCGTATCATTGAGTTAGTACTTAATGTACGAAACCAAGTTAGTGTGAATAGGGGCACTGCTCACTTGGCGATCTCGCCTTACCAGGAGGGGTCTCTGGACCTCTATGCACTCAGTCCCGGCTTACCCTCCAGAATGCGGCGCGTACGATACTTTTAATCAGTTCGTCCACGCCTTTAGCCATGTCCACAGCTGGTTTATCCCGTGTTTCACTTAAACAAGCGGTGGTTGTGACAGTAAAACTAACTACGCCCACAGTTGGGTGTATTTGTGCATTCACAGTATGCCCTGAGCGCACCTTATGGTTCTTGTCCGTTTCTGACTCGCCAATTGCACTGTGCCCATCGAATTCCAACATAAACTGTACCAGAACTGGCATTTCGTTTTACCAAACACTGAGGTCGGTTTCTAGGTTTACATAAACTAGCACTCATCTTAAGGCGGCTGGGTTCCAGTACCTTAAACTTCCGCGCAGTGTCCCCTTCATGAACAATTCTTATGGAGAGGATACAATACATCCTTGCGACAGCGATCCGAGATTTAATCGACGGACTCGCTAGCGCTTAACTACCGCGTTACGTTCTACTGAAGTACGGAACCGTGGGAGCATTCGATCAATCACACTATCAGTCATTCAGTATCCCATAGTCATTTGTTCGCCAGCCGGTCGGCCACGAGCAGTGATGCATAACTAACTTTACTACGAAGTCAAGGCAGTACCATCTAAGAATACTATCATGCTAATGGTGGTTGCAATCACGTTGTCTTCTGCCTCCGCTTCATCCCAGGCTCATGCAGCAGGTGATTTCCGCGATGTCAGTATCTACGGTGCTCGGTCTCTCATCGAATTGACCATTGAGCTTATTGACCTGTTTGCGGCTCCCCACAGCTTCTGTGTAGTCTGATGACCATAATCATCCGGCTCATCTAAGAGCCTACAATCCGGTTAAGCAGAGCATTCATTAGCTATCTGCCGCCTGAATTCGTTTTCGACCACTGGCTACATAGGTATGCCCTCAACTTTCCGCCAACTCATCTGCAACAGCAACATTTTCGTTGAGTTTGTGTAAACAATTCATTTGGTTTCTGTATTTATGCTATCAGGCGGGAGGAGTTCGATGGTAATGGCATGCTTGAACCGTGCGGAAAATGCGCATTTGACATGATACTACCGATACCACACACATTCGCCTATGACCAAAATCACAACAAATCGCCTAGTTCGGTTTACTTTGTCTGAGTTCCATTAGCGGTTACGTCTCGATGCCAGCTCCTGCTTGTCGTCACTTGGCCACATGACTTGAGATGAGACTAACCGGTGCCGACAGCAGACCAGTATCACAACAGCAACTACACCTTTGTGAACAAGACTACGATCCTGCTACGTGTGAGCATACCGATATCATGACCCAATGCTTCGTCTAACAGAGGTAGACAGTTCTTTCATGCGTGCGGTTGGTTTCCACATAGAGGAAGCCAATGAGTCCTTTGCGGCACTTCGTCAATGGACTTATCTTGAGGCCGTTGTCATTGATCACTCCAGTAGTCATGCGCCGAATTTACGGACATTTGAAAATTGATCTGCCAACTAGCCTTGTGAGTTTTGAGTTTCCGAGTCTAGTAAAAGAACATTT